TCTGAGCAACCATCTTTTAAAGTACTCAGGACAGGAAACGTAAGCTTTTGAATATCGCAGTTTTATTGGTATTTTTATTACTGAAACTAATTCTTACCAAATTTAGAACAGACCTGACAAAACTACTATCCTAGCTGAAATATAAAACCAAGAAAACAAGAACACGCCTATCGGACCTGTGTCGGTTTTATAGTTGTTAAAGTGGCTGAAAAAAACAGTAACACGGAAATATAAACTATACTTTACAACAAAAAAGATCAGTTCAGCTTTGCAATTGTGAACTTTCCAGTTCTATGTTTCAACACACCAATGTCGCCTGCATATAGAGTACATATATTTCAGTTAATAAGAAATTCCAAAGTTTGCATTTCCTTACAATAGTTTCTTGAAAGATTGTAGCAGCATACATCTAAGGTATTGAATCAAAGTGTCCAACTGGTTAAGTTCAGAACATCCCTTCGGATAATTGCAGATGTCGTCATGATTTGGTTGACTCCATACACGAGTGTTCTCAGGAATCATTGAAAGAATCTGCCATAAACTATGGAAATGCGGAAGTAAATTAGCGGAGCGGGGATTTATAAACATGTCTTACAAAGAAATAAACTAATAAATGAATACCACTAACCATTGTGGCTTCCCTCCCCCACAATATTCAAATGTTCACCAGCTTTTATGAAATTACAACTGTAATTTTAATTCTAACGAAAGTACAGAAATTAGCTATTTTGTTTTCTGTGACCTTTTTTAAGCTTCAAATAAGTTTTGCCACCAAGGATTTTTACACACAATAAGCTGTAGCCAGGCATGTTTTGTAATGATTTGAAAGTTTCTTGAACAATATACATCAGTGACAATCTTGTTTGAGCTTTGCAGTCTTTCAGCTTGGGGCCCATGTTGCTCCAGCGGTCAATGTAGTTCATATACTGTGTCACTAGACTCATCATCGAACTCCGCACATGGCAGGTGCGTTTAACTTCAATCTATATTGACTAGGATTATCCGTTTGTTTTATACCGAAGGTCATAGGTTTTTTTTTACCGAGAACTAAAGCTTCCTCCTCCAAATAAAACCGACCACTATGTCTAATGATATAGCCAATTAGAGTACTGAAAGTTTATTGAAAAATACTTTTTTTTTTAATTCTGGAAAAGCCTTTAGGTACCCTTTTTTCCCACACCACCAAAATCATCATACAATAATACCTTCTAACAATAAAAAAAATAAGAAGATGTGGTACGATTGTGAATAAAACAACTATCCACTAGAGACCAAATGACGTATATTGGACCTTAAAGTTTTTATTTGTATAAAAAATATAAAAAAAAATCTTTTGGTATATGGAATGAATGTATTCTAGTGGTGGCGTGAATCAGATATGGATACTAAAAAGCTATTTAACCAAGAGTTCCAAATGATGCAGTTGAAATCATCCCTTCGTAAATTTTACGAACGTCATCACGAATTAGTTGACCGTTATGAAATATCCGTTTCACAGATGATATCGGATATGTTCCTAATGTCGTAACTACAATCCTGTTCCCTTTTCACGAATGTGACCTACCGAATTAGACTTATTTACCGGGTTTGTAATAACAAGCAGCATGACCAGTGCCACATGTGGAGCAGGATCTGCCTACCCTTCCGGTGCACCTGAGTGCACCAAGTTTTTGGTGGGGTTCCTGTTGCTTAGTCCTCATTTTTCTAGTTTGTGTTTTGTGTGCTATTGTTTGTCTGTGCAGTGTTAATCGGACCTTGACCATACAGTAATGGCTCATTGGTCAATGCTAATGTTCCATGGTTATGTCTGTTCTTGGATACTTTCAGCAATAAATCAAGTATATTTAATTTGGTGTGGAATGTTTGCGTGACAAACATGTTGTCTGGCAGAGTGCACCTGATCTTGACCTTTTTTAAAGTTCATTGTTCAAAATTCAATTTTCGTAATCATGTCCGTTTCACATATGATATAACCAATATTACGCACTATTTGGTGTATTGTATGATTGTAAGGTGAAGATGTCTGACAGGCCTCCTTATGACCTCTCAATGGACCAGATCTTGACCTAATTTCGATGAATAATGTAAAGTTTATGGTAAACTTGTGATAAAACCTTCATATAACAACCTTTAATCATAAGTATAATTGCAATCAGTAAAGCAGGCGAGACAATTCAATGGGACACTCTTGTAATAATAATAGTTTATAATGTTTAATATTATCAAAAAATAATTAGTTCTTAATTCATTCGCATTGGAATTGTTTAAAGTATTGCTATTAATTTGATGTCATAAAGCAGTGATAGAAAACCTACACATATTTTGTATAACCTGAAATAGCAAATATATAATGAAACTAAAGCCACGGCTGACCCAATGATAATGAATTCCTAGTAGTTTTATCAAGTCAACGAAAGTATGCTAGTGTTATTTTCCTCCTCATGTCAACTATGTTTGATTTTGACATCTAGATTTCATTATAATGTCAGACACGCAGAATATTTGATAGTATAGGCATTCCAGTAAAAAAAGAGTGCGCTGAAATGTCTCACCTGCTTTATTGACCATTGATTTCATGTTGATAGCCCTCAATATAAAGTTTTACTGCAAGTATCACATAAATAAAGGCAACAGTAGTATACCGCTGTTCAAAAGTCATAAATCGATTGAGAGAAAACAAATCCGGATTACAAACTAAAACCGAGGGAAACACATCAACTATAAGAGGAAAACAACGAAACAACAGAACACTGAAAAAACAAACGGCAATGCAACATACATAGAAACGAACTATTACATAACAGCTGCCATATTCCTTAACATAAACTTAACATGTGTTCAAGGTTAGATAAATAAAACCAGAAATACATGTATACCTTACAATATTTTCCTTCAACAGTTGACCTATTGCTTATAGCTTACAAGAAACGGACCAAACGATGAAAATTTTATATTCACCAAAGAACCAAGAATTGAGTCAAGGTCATAAATCCCTGCCAGACAGACATATAAACCTTACAATTATTCCATATATCAAATAAAGTTGTTTATAGTATCTAAGAAACAAACTTAACCAGGAAACTTAACATTGACCAATTAACCAATAAAATGAGGTTAAGGTCAGATGATCTCTGCCAGACAAACATATAGACCTTACAATTATTCCACACACTAAATATAGTTAATCTTTGTTCATACTTTAAGAAAAACAGATCAAATCACAAAAACTTAACATTAAGCGATGAACTGTGAAAGTGAGGTCAAGTTAAAATGAAACCTGCCAGACTGACATGTAAATCGTAAATAATTTCCAAACACCAAATATAGTTGACCTATTGTATATATTATTAGAAAACAGATCAAAACACAAAACTTAACTTAACCACTGAACCATGAAAAAGGAGGTCAAGGTCAGATGACACCTGAAAGTTGGACATATAAACCTTACAATCATTACATACACCAACTATAGAAGACCAATTGCTTATAGTATGTGAGTTATGGACGACCACGAAACTTAAACTTGTTCACTGATACATGAAATGAGGTGAAGGTCAAGTGAAAACTGTCTGACAGCCATGAGATCCTTGCAAGGTACCAACATACTAAATATAGTTATCATATTACTAATAATAAGAGAGAAATCAACATTACAAAAATTTTCACCTTTTTTTCAAGTTATCGCTGAACCCTGAAAATAAAACCAAGGACAAAAGACATGTGACAGACGGAAACATCGTAACATAAGGCATCTATATATGAAATATGAGGCTTTTAGGTCTTCTACCTTCAGAAATATCAAGCTTTTAAGTTGTAAGTTAACACAGCCACTACGGCAGGATCACTATCCCTATGTCTCGCTTTCTGCAATTTCTGTCTCAGGCTCCACAAAAATAATGTTTATAACCAATGCTCATGTTTTTGGGGTGTAGCATTCTTCATGATAAATTTTGGTTATGTTCTAACAGTTCGAATCTTTTTTCATTAAATTACGCACCATAAATCTCCCAGTTTATACACTAGTCCATGGCTTGTATTTCCTATCATGATTTCCTTGATCGAGGGTTGCTGCTCACAATGAAGCTATTTAACCAAGAGTTCCAAGTGGTGAAAAGTAAAATCACAAAAATACTGAACTCCGAGGAAAATTCAAAACGAAAATTTCCTAATCAAATGGCAAAATCAAATGATAAAACACATCAAACGAATGGACAACAACTGTCATATTTCTGACTTGGTACAGGCATTTTCAAATGTAGAAAATGGTGGATTGAACCTGGTTTTATAGCGCTAAACCTCTCACTTGTATGACAGTCGCATCAAATTCCGTTATATTTATAACGATGCGTGAACAAAACAGACATAATAGGTAAAATAGTCACAATATGGGTACAGCAGTCATCACTGTGTCACAATCTCAAAACAAACAAATATTTAACAAAAAAGCACAAAAAAGTAAAATCACGAAATTACTGAACCATGAGGAAGTTGAAATCATCACTGCATAAATTTTACAGACGCCATCACGAATTGGTTGACCGTTATGGAATATCTGTTTCACAGATGACGACAGATATGTTCCAATTGTCGTAACTACAATCCCGTCCCCTTTCCCCGAATGTGACCTACCGAATTAGACTTATGACCGGGTTTCTACTTACATGAGCAACACGACGAATTCCACACGTGGAGCATGATCTGCTTCCCGTTCTGGAGCACATGAGATCACCCCAAGTTTTTGGTGGGGTTTGGGTTGCTGAGTCTTTAGATTTCTATGTTGTGTTATGTGTACTGTTGTGTGTCTGTTGGTCTTTTGAACTTTTAGCCATAGCGTTGTCAAGTTTTATTTTCAACTTGTGAGTTTGAATGTCCTTTTGGTATGTTTTGCTTCTCTTTTAAAGATATGTATATACTGTGACTACATTATTATTCATTAGGTACCAATTTTCATTGATTTTGTTGGTATATGCTGTAGCTTAAAATAAGTAGAAAGTCTAAAACATATTGTAACTTTTAATAATTTACATTTCATTCTTTTTTCCAAACATCCATTTAACTAAATAATAACAATAATAATATTTTCATAAATATTAATTTACAAAACTGATGTATCTGCAAGTAGTGATGTTCTGATAATCGATTATAATAGAAAATTGGTCCATTGAAGCAATATTATTCAAACTAGATAATCTATTGTAAAATTTCAGAAATGAATAGAATCAGTTATTAATAAATTGTTTGATTGGCTAAGAACATTCATAAAATGGTTGCATGAAGAATCACTGTAAAACATGTGTCAGTAGTAAATGTTGTTCAACACCTATATAATATCACTGCAATGTGCCCATTATCATCAAGTAAAAAGTTTTGTTGCATAATCAATGAACTTTAATAAGGCATTACATTTCATATGCATGAATAATGCATGGGCTTAAGGTCATAAAACATTTCTCAGAACTAATAAATATAAAATTTATACTCAAATCTGTTATCACAAAATGCAGTTTTTTGATCAGTGGACTTCTGAGTCTGAGTACGATAATCATGCTCACAATATTTATGACACAAGGCCTGAAATAGCAGCAGACATAAATTATTGAATCTGGTACCTTTTGTTTTTCTTATAAGTCCAAGTTACTGCTGAGTAATTTTTCAGTAATTTTAAACATCTGCGTGATAAGTGACAATAATTTAATTTTGGGTGTAACACGTCTTCTGATTTGCTGAAATTTTTTTTGTCTATCAGCTCACAGACATAATATTTGTCTTGTGATTGTGGTCATCAACGTTTTTTCATGATTTACTCCATAAAAATGGAAATAAGAATTAAATTATAAGGAAAGATTGTAATATTTTTCCTGTCTATTTGAAATAACCTCAAAACTGTGGTGCACACTTTAAAATAACACCCTTCACAAGTTATTCAGTGTGCAACACATTTTTAAAATTATTTCTTCATAGACAGAAACAATATTACAGTCATTCCTTAAATAAAACTGTTAAACCATAGTATTTCTTGGTTCACATTGAGAATTGTTTAAATACATTTTGATACAATTATCCCAGTACTTCACCACTATAACTTTAAATTAATCAAAATTTATCAAAGGGAAATAACTAATTACTCTAAATTGAGAAATGAATGTGACGTGTTTATTCATATGAATAATGTGACTGGGTTCAGATCCAATTATATGGATAATTCTTACTGGTAATTCTAAAACAGAAGCTTTGTAAGAGTTGAATAAATAAATTTTGTATTTCAGTCAATTTGAATGATTAACATTTATAAATGTACACCTTAACTTCTAAGATTTCTGTATAATAAATTACATTTTAACTTTTGATTTCAACAACGTATATTTTATTTCTTTGATTTTTATACATATCACATACATTCTTATAATAAACAGTGTCTAGTTAGGTTTATCTACAAAAAATTGGAAAAACAGTTATGAACAGACAAAATTAACAAGTCATTATATTAGATTAGTACTTTTAATTTATAACATTTTGATTATTTCCATCTATCTGTAGACTTGCAAAAAGGTTGTAATCTAACTCTTAACATTGTTTGTGACCTGCACAAAGCTACTAACACTAAATAGAATTTGAGCCAGCAAATTCAGTCAAATCACTACAATATTATAATCTATTTCTAAATGAATCAGCTTTTTAAAATAAAATATTATTACTGTGAAAACATACGATTGTGGCACCATATTTTGAATATTGTTGAAAAAAAATAGTTGAATTATGGATTTTTAGTATATTCTTCTGATAATATGTATTTCTGTATTGCCAAAAAAAAATCAGGTCAACCTCCTAAGTTACATGACTGCCAAGACTTTGGTATGTACAATGTGATGAAATTCATGTAGGTGTTTGTCTTCAACAACTTTTGCCATATATTTCATATAATAACACATTTTTTACACAAACAAATACTTTCAAAGCATTTTATGTTGGATTTTAACAAACCACCTGTTAGAAGATATTTTCTGAAGTTCGTTTATTTGGTCATAATTTTATCTTTAGTTGTCTTTGCCCAATTTCTTCAGATGTAAATGAGTATAAAAATGTTTTACTATTTAATTTGATTCAAAAGTATAGCAAACTTCCTAACAATCATAAGAAAATGAGAATGCTTTAGAAAAAAATAACCAAATGAACACATAAACCTGTGACAATTTTGCTTCTATTAAATCCAAGTTTAATAAAATCCAACCACAAACAATCTGACAATATATCTTTTTTAAATAAAGTTTCATATGAAATATAAAGCAAATGATATTAAGTGACGATTATTTATGGCTTAACACTGGCTAATTAAAGCCAATTATTTCAGCAGGATTAATTTTCAAATAAAATTATGTTTATAGCAATAAAAACTATATTTATTAGATGGATGTGTCTTCTGAAACACAATTCAAAATAGGAACAATCAAAAGATAAAGTTGGATAGATCATATCTTACCATGCTATATATATAAGTATAGAGAATATGATCTAAATTGCTAATTTACCCCTTTGTTCTATTTATAGTAATGGAAGCCATGTTGGTTGGTTGGTGGAAAGTCATTCTGAGAATGAGACAAATTACTATTTGCCCAAGACTGGCTCAGTGATTTAACAAAAAAAAACTATTGAAAAAATATTTAAAGGCAAATAGACGTCTAGCAATGCAAAATTGAACCCATGTTTTAAACAATACTTGTGCATTTCTTTTTAAAAGAGTACCACTCCATAATAAATTTTACTACAATATGCTAGTCAATAAACAAAAGATCCTAGGGAAATAAAGTATCTTGACAAACTATGCATGAAGCATACATATAAACTGAAAAATATAACAATCTGTATTTTGTAACAATGATATTTAACTATTGTCTATTTTTCTAACTCTATAAATAAGTACAATTTATCACAAAATAATGAAAGACATATAGTTATTCTTACAGCCATTTTGAAACAATAACAAGATTGCATGCATTTTCTTGCAAAACATACCCCTACTCGTCATTCAAAAAATGTGAAAACAGGAAGTATGTGTCTGACAGATCCGATAAGTGGTAATAACAAAGAACTAATCAACTGTCAAGCTACTGACCAAATATTAAGTCATTTTGTAAAGTAGTTTCTAAGAAAAGTGTGATCAAAATATTTGTTGGACAAACAGACAGATAGACAAGGTGATTGTAATTAAACCCCTCTTTTAGAGTTGGGATACAATTATTCTATGCGAATAACATGTAACAATAACTATACTGCACTGAAACATTTCTTTAAAAAAAAAACCTTCAAACACTGGAAGGGTTATTAAAAATTAATAGGAAGTTTAAATTACATGTTATTGATGCCAATAGTACATTTATGATGTATAAATATTATGATATAAGTAGCAAATGAGATGAGAAAAGCAAATCTTGTTCACCACATGTATAAATTCATATTACACTATTCTTATACTCCTGTGAAGAGTTTTCAAAATCATTATAAATTAACTGCAACATAATAATTTTCAGCACCTTTCAAGGAAAAGAAATATTTTAAGCACCTTTCAAAGAAAAGAAATCATAAGCACCTAACTATGAACAAGTAAACAGTCTATAATCAATAAAATACATACAAATTCTCAATTGAGCATATAACAATTTCTATCTTACAAGTGCCCCTTTTCCTTAACAACCCCTCCCTTATTGAAAAGATGACAATTACTATCTTATAAGTGTCCTATTCCTTTTTGACAATCCTTCCCCTATTTTTGAAAATATGACAATTACTAACTTACAAGTGCCCATTATTCATTAGCAATCCCTCCCTTATTTTTGAAGATATAACAATTACTAGATAATAAGTGCCCCTTATCCTTCCTTGCAATCTTTGAATCATCTGAAGCAACAAGGCACTTATAAGTTATAAGTCTACACAAAAGAAACAAATTAAGAAATTTATTGTTTCAGAATCAAATGCATTCTGGCAATAATTTCAAAAGCCTAAACCATTACAATCTATTTGGTTGAGCCGTTTTGAAAAAAATGGATATTTAACCAATGGCTTAGCATCATTACCTACAATCCTTTTGGTTCTGAAACAACAAAAAATTATATAAATAATTGCAACAAAGGAAATATAATATCTTCAACAAAAATAAATTAGCACAAACACATATATAACTGAAATAAATTTAGCATAGTTACAAAGAGGGAGCTGTAAAATAATGGGTTCTCTCCCTTTGTTTTTAAATATCATTAGTATGCTATTGACTAACACAATATAATATTTCATGGCTGAATGTAAAGTGATATCTTCATTTTTTTACAAGGGAATTTTTAGGTTAACAATAGTGCATACTCCTTTAAAAATAATAATAACTCTTTTTTGCAATGTTTTGACTTTCTATAAACAGTCTTTAGTTAAAATATGAATTGGAATGTATAATTTGTTGATATATGGCATCCATACCGACCGTGCAAGGCCTGTATAGCCAGTCAAGGTCGTTAAAAACTTCCATTTGTTGTTGCATCCATGCAAAACCCTCATGGGTAGTCAAGGTAATTAAAAACCCCCCTCATCAGGAATATTCATCTGTGGAAAATAAAATTCCAGGCAGAGTACAAAAGTTACAAACTGAAGGATACATTCTATAAAAACTAAAATAATCTACCCTGAATAAATATTTGAATGAAATCTGTGACATGTTGCAATAACTCTTTCTTTTAAATCATAATCCCTTCTCAAATCAGAGAAAGTATGTTTGGTTTATAGTTAACAAGCTTCCCAAAATTCATCAAAGAACTTTTGGACAATTGGTCAGACAGACTGCAATGATTCATCTGATTAACAAAAAATCTGTAGCACAAAAATAATTTTGCTATATCTTTTTTTCACTAAAATCTGGAAAAATTACATGGTTTTAGTATCTGGTATTAAGCCCATGCTCGGTAGAAATAATGACAAAATCACAACATTTAAAGAGTTTATCAACTTTCTACATAATTGCTCATGAATCAAAAAGAAAATTTCAGTGGGTACTATATTTACGGTGAAATTACAATACTGGTGATGAAAAAATTGATTTATGAACACGTTTAAATTTGATTTTGGATTTTTGTTTACCAAACATTTGAACTGGTGACTTGCCGATATTTGTCTACATGACGGCATAATTGTCAGACTTCTCCAATGGTCTGGCACACTTCCGGAAGCCGAGTACACATTGTTAATACAAAAATCAACAATACTTACTTCAAATAACATACAAAAAATGCTGACAATCGTTTTTGGTTAGTCTTAAAACATGTTGCATAGCACCATAACAGTGAATAAGATTCATTTCTATCAAATTCATAGCTTTAACTTAAAATTGTTAAAAGTGATTCCCCTTCAACTGACCTAATCTCAAACTCCCATACAAGCCAAAGTCTCCGTTCTGCAACCTCAGCTTTGTGGAGGAGAGACAAAAATTTGTATGTCAGATTGATAACTTTTTTTTATGATTTACTGAAGATAAATTTATATTTAAAATTACCTTCCAAAATGCAACTAACAATGATGAATGAATTGCAAATATGTAAATTGATAACATAAATAAATAACTAACAAAAATGAGGTAACTCCCTACGGATGGAATGTAATAGTTAAGTAGCATCAAATTTCTCCTTAAGTAGCATCAAAATTTCTCCCTAAGTCACATCAAATTCCTCCTTAAGTAGCATCAAATTTCTCCCTAAGCCACATCAAATTTCTCCTTAAGCGGCATCAAATTTCTCCTTAAGTCACATCAAATTTCTCTATTAGTAGCATCAAATATCTCCTTAAGTCACATCAAATTTTTCTTTAAGTACAAAGTTGTGAGGATATTTATGTTAATCAATCAACTGAAGAGTATTTTATTTTAGACATCATTGTAAAATGTCAATCTCACTTCCAAATTTACCCTTAGATATTTTCTCAATTCGTGGTTAACTTAAGTTTACTGCATATTAAATCTGAACTCGATTAAATTGTACATGATTTCTTGGCTATCTAATCTTTAACATGAAATGGTCCTAAACTTTCCTTAAATATATATTTTTCTTTTTCTTTGTTAGAAATAAAATAATAATGTCCACATATAAAAGCAAACTTAGATTTTGACTTTTGGAATTCTGTCTTTCAGAACTGAACTTAATGTAAAAAATTTACCTAATCTGTAAATACTAATTGGCATATAATATTTCAATGAATTAGCTTAAAAATAATATAATTTTGTAATACAAAAAATTAACCACAATTTAAAATACTGTAATCATTCTTTATTTTCAGATTTTATTGGTTCATGGAAAATGCAATAGTTCAGGAGACTATTCAAAAACTGAATATAACAAAAATCATAAGTTAACATGGTCTAGGTTTAAATTTCTTAGTTATATCGAATTATGAAAACCAATGACAAAAGACACCAAAGAGATATTTTTGGAAAAGAATATCAAACTATCCAAAAATGATTTTGACGATAAAACTTCACTTTGGTGAAGTCGGTAAGTTAAAAACTTATTTATCAAAAATGTGCACAAACATATTCTCAAAAACTTAATTGTTTTACATTCTATCAAGTAAACAAAATCAACTAAATAAATTATAATTCTGTAGACTCATCTTCTTCATTGATATATACATAATCAGAATACACAAATGGAATGCTATTACTACGTAAATAAACAACTTCCTCATTTTCCCCAGCATTCAGCTTTGATTTGCCAGTGCCAGGTATTTTCAAACTCTTATTGGATTTGTTGTCTGTGTCCTTTAAATTCTTTAAAGCAATATGTTCATCCGTATTTGGGCAACAAATACACATTCCACTATCAGCATCTGAATCCACATAAGAAATATAACTGTCATCCATATCTTCACCTATAGAAGAAGAGTAGTCTCCCTCGAATGAAATCTTCGAAGTTGAAGGTACATGTGGTACTGGGAATGTTTCTAACAGTTGTGGTGATTGGATAAGACTGTAACGATCCCAGCTATTGGTTGAAACTGTGCTGATCATGCTCTGTCGAATACGCTGAAATCTGGTTATACCCTTTGACTGACAATAATCTGTAACAAAATAAGTTTAAACTATAAATGGAAGTTATGAGCATGAAGAGGTTGGGAAAAGTACCAAATCTAAACAAATCATAGCAGATTCACATGTATTCCATTATGAATAAGTGAATAGTAGTATCAAGCTTTTAGTGATAATGTTTTGCAAAATTTAAAAGAGAAACGTAATTTATGTGCTTTGCTTATTATTTGTGCAGTTTCAATCCGACAATATAGACTTTTCCTTTAAATTAAATATGCCAACACTCCATCATTGGACTATAAGCTATAGCTATCAACTCTGAATCTTGCAGAGAGTCTCAAATTTTTCTTTTATTTGAATATTCTGCTATTGTGTCTTAATTTATCATAATAACATATAAAGAAAGATTCTTCATTTCCTAGTTTGTATTTTTTCTCTCAATTTTTTATGAAAATGTTGCTTTGATGACCAGACTGGAAAACAAAGACCAAGATAAAGAATATTCAGCATGGGCAAATGCTTTATGAAAACTTATTTGGTATAATGCATATAGTTTTTTGGGGAAAAAAAAACATGTTATTTTAACCGCTTTTACCTTAAATTCATTATACAATAAAAACCTTTGCATGAGGTCAACTCAAGAATATATCAACCTTAAAAAAAGAATATGGACTGAGGATGAAGTCTGAGGTCGATACATCCTCATACAAAGACTATAGTGTTATACTATTAATGTCAATAAACCTAAATAGTGCTGAAATTCATTTGATTGGCCGATTCAGTCTACCTTTGTAAATACAGTTAAACATGTGACTCTTTTAGAACAAATCAAATTAGAATATACAAAATAATAATAATATATCAACATAATAACTTTCTGCAATATACATTACCATCTATGATTTCTTTTTCTTGTTGTTCTAGTTCTTTCAAGGCCAATTTCTTGTGAGCTAGAATTTCCTAAATACACACAAAAAAAAACATTCATATCAAAATAGATTATATTTACAAAATAATATATTCCTTCAAAAAAATGAACAATGAAATTCATATCATGATTTAAAAAGTCCCTTTTGAAATATCATGTTACAAGTGCTTGTGTTCCAATTAAATAACACCACCAGGACAATACCGCATTACTATAATTCTTAACTGGTGGGTTGAGAATGACGGGTTTGAAGTATTTTAGTTAAGAAATTGTTGGTTTAAGTACCATGTCAATGCAAAAATGTGTTTTATTTGTCATGTTCAAGCTTAATTATTTGGTTTTAGGTAATGTGATTGTAGTAATTCGATTTCAGAAAACTCCACCCATCCCATGACTGACATGGATTGGAGGTTCATTAACATGATTAACTTGAAGGGTATTTTGTGAGCAGTTAAAAAAAAAACCACACTATTTTTATTTCACTAAATAAAATGTTTAGCAGTCTGTTGTCAATCAATCAATCATACTTTAATGTGTTGATTTGCAATGACTGTACTTAAATATTTACATACAATTGTTATCATTTATCAGCAAAAAGTTCAGATTTTGTTAATTAAACCAGTAAAAGACGCGATAGTACAGAGATTCATATTGCCATACAAAAGCAGTGATATAAGGCATTAATTTGATGAAAGAAAAATAGACGCAATTAAGATTTCATTCCAAATCCATAACTACAAAACATCTTTTGAAAGTGTTACTGCATCTGGAAAATTTGAGATAATGGCACTATTCCTATTTTATCAAAACCAATTGTTCTTTTAAGAACAATAGAACAGATAAAATAATTATTTATTACTTCTATGTAAATCAGATGTAGTCATCTCGTATCTTTGGGCTGATGCCCCTCAGATATGAGAAGCGTACATCTAATACTTACAGCACACAATTTTAGTATATGACTCCTTTATTTTATATTATAACATGAATATGGGGACAGGAACATGCAAATGTAAAATAACAAGAAATGATTGTAACAGGATGCTGTTATGAAGTCTCCCAAACGAAGCTCCCATAATTCGTAATTCCCAGGGTCGCCTGACATTGGGCAACGTCCAGTGAAAATTGGTTTGGTCCAGTAAAGTTATATGCATAAGTGATGCCTGGGGACTAACCTTGTATATCATTCAAATCATCTTGGCATGACAAACCAGAATATATATGGTTTAGGGGTGGGGATCTCGACCATTTACAAGATACTAGAACATTGGGGGTGGGGAGGAACCCCTGGGGACTGGCCCTATACGTCATTCAAATGTTCATTACATGACGAACAGGAATATATATGGTTTAGGGGTGGGGATCTCAACCATTTACAAGATATTAGAACATTGGGGGTGGGGGGAACCCCTGGAGACTGACCGTATACGTCATTCAAATGTTCGAGACATGACAAATAGGAATATATATGGTTTAGGGGTGGGGATCTCAACCATTTACAAGATATTAGAACTTTCTCAAATGGCAAGGGGTCAGGATGACCCCTGGGGACTAACCCTGTATATCATTCAAACCATCTTAGCATGACAAACCAGAATATATATGGTTTAGGGGTGGGGATCTTGACCACTTAGAAGATATTAGAACTTTCTTAAATGGCAGGGGGTGGGGGTGACCCCTGGGGACTAACCCTGTATTTCATTTGATGTGCTTTATCATGACAAACCAGAATATATATGGTTTAGGGGTGGGGATCTCAACCATTTACAAGATATTAGAAACTTTCTCAAATGGCAGGGGGTCAGGATGACCCCTGGGGACTAACCCTGTATATCATTCAAACCATCTTAGCATGACAAACCAGAATATATATGGTTTAGGGGTGGGGATCTTGACCACTTACAAGATATTAGAACTTTCTTAAATGGCAGGGGGTGGGGGTGACCCCTGGGGACTAACCCTGTATAACATTTGATGTGCTTTATCATGACAAACCAGAATATATATGGTTTAGGGGTGGGGATCTCAACCATTTATAAGATATTAGAACTTTCTCAAATGGCAGGGGGTGGGGATGACCCCTGGGGACTAACCCTGTATATCAATCAAACCATCTTAGCAAGACAAACCAGAATATATATGGTTTAGGGGTGGGGATCTTGACCACTTACAAAGATATTAGAACTTTCTTAAATGGCAGGGGGTGGGGGTGATCCCTGGGGACTAACCCTGTATTTCATTTGATGTGCTTTATCATGACAAACCAGAATATATATGGTTTAGGGGTGGGGATCTCGACCATTTACAAGATATTAGAACTTTCTCAAATGGCAGGGGGTCGGAATGACCCCTGGGGACTAACCCTGTATATCATTCAAACCATCTTAGCATGACAAACCAGAATATATATGGTTTAGGGGTGGGGATCTTGACCACTTACAAGATATTAGAACTTTCTTAAATGGCAGGGGGTGGGGGTGACCCCTGGGGACTAACCCTGTATTACATTTGATGTGCTTTATCATGACAAACCAGAATATATATGGTTTAGGGGTGGGGATCTCGACCATTTACAAGATATAAGAACTTTCTCAAATGGCAGGGGGTGGGGATGATCCCTGGGGACTAACCCTGTATATCATTCAAACCATCTTAGCATGACAAACCAGAATATATATGGTTTAGGGGTGGGGATCTTTACGACTTACAAGGTATTAGAACTTTCTTAAATGGCAGGGGGTGGGGGTGACCCCTGGGGACTAACCCTGTATTTCATTAAATGGGCTTTATCATTTAGAACATTTTCAATTAAAAAGATTGTGTCTATCACAAACGGTTTTCAATTTATAATCATTTGAAAATTTAAAAAAATAAAATCCCATAGGGTTCTATAGTAAAACCCTCTTTTCTTTTTGCCCCCCAAAGTACCCCTTTATAAACCCCATTGCACAAACAAAACCCTGATTGCACCACTAGACATGTTAGTCTAACATATTGTGAAACCCTAAGTTAATCTGACAAGCGGTTTTGGAGAACAGGTGCGGACAAGTTCAAATTTAAAAGTGGCGGAAGAAGAAGAAGAAGAAGAAGAAGAAGAAGAAGAAGAAGAATAATAATAATAATAATAAGAACTGAGCAAAAACAATAAGTCTTCCCAAACTTCGTTTGGGAGACTTAAATATGAATATCTGGCACACTAAGCTAGATTTTTAACATGTTAGTTCACATGGCAAGTCCGCATAAAGAATTGTCACCCTACCCAGAAACATTATTCTAAGATTACTTTAAACTTTTTTTGGCAAAACCTTTCGGACTTTTGAGTCCTAATGCTCTTCAACTTAATTTGGCCTATTAACATTTTTGATATGAGCATCACTGATGAATATATTGTAGACGAAACATGCATCTGGCGTATAAAAGTTAAATCATGGTATCTATGATAAGTTTTATTCTGACTTCGAGCAGATCAATCTTTAGTTTTACTTCCTAATGCTAATTTAATTGAATAAACTGACCTTTAATCTAAATATTCTGTCATGAAGTTCTACCTTCTTACAACAATCTTCAAACATTACAACCATTCTAAAATATAAAATATTTTCAAATATTACAAAATGTGTATCTCTTCAAAACTATTCTGTTGTTTATTGTGTAGTTTGTCTTGTGACATTATTCTGATAACCAACAACCCAGACTTTTGCTCTTAAATCCTGAGGGTTATAAAAATAAATGGGGAATGTGTCCATTGGACACAGATGAATGAGATGATGCCCCTGCTTGCATGTCATATAAAGTTTTAAAGGGACATAACTGAAGAACGGTAAAAGTGACACTACCCAAATTTGAACTTGATCTGAGTTTTGTGGTAATAAGTATTATATATAAGTTTCATAACATTTGGTTGAGGCAAACTTAAGTTAGAAAATGGAAACGAAAAATTCAGCAATTTTTCCATTTGTAAAGGGGCATAACTCTAGAACAGTAAAAATGACGCCACCAAAACATTACACGAGGTATCTGAGCTCCGAGCAAAGGTGATATTTACCAATATGGGAAAAAGTTACATTTTTACCTACGCAATATATGAAAAGGTATACATTTTTAAAATCTAAATTATATGAAAAGGTTGGGGTAACAGAACTCCAGCAGCATCCCCTATCAATTAAGTATTGAAGTTGACCCCCCCCCCCCCCCCCAAAAGTCATTAGTCAATTTCTGCCCATATGATGTGTGCAAAGTTACTGAAAGAAATACTTTAAGTGTTGGATGTGGGGAAACTTTGAAATACCCTTCCATATCAATTTAATGGTATAGCCCTGAACACTATGTGGATAGTTGTCTCATTTGAATCATATCGCATCTTCTTATTTTCATATTCTTTCTTAATAATTCATATACAAAGCACAGCAGTCATTTCATTCATGAGGCTCATTCTAGAAACTAAACGTGACCAATGGAGATGGAAAATGAAGTAGAAGTTTTTGTGTAATTAGGTTGTTGTAACATTTGTGTATACCCAACATATTCTTTTATTCATAACAAGAACATCTGACAAATATGCTACATGAACTCATACACTTCATCATAACCAAATATGGCTGACCTACCATGCATAGTTATTGAGAACTGTTTTTTAATACTTTTGTAATTGGTGACCTTCACCTTTGATCTATGACCTTGAAAAAATATATAGTTCATTTTTTGTATTACGGGATAAAAGACTGGAGTCCTTAACATTCCTACAAGCTCTGCAAGCTCTAACATCATTATCATGTTGAATCTTTGACCTTTCAACTTTAACCTTGAAATTACAGGAGTAAAAGTTTTATATATTACAAAATTTAGATGCAAGTTAGAAGTAATACTACATGTACTATATTGTTTCATATTTTTTTGTAAAGACGTGAAAAGGATTCAGGTATCTCAGAGAAAGAAAGTACCTCATTGAGTCACCACAACCTCTTATCACTCTGACTAATTCTTTATGAGAATTTCTGTCAACTGAATCTCCATTTACTGAGAGTATTACATCACCTGTCAATAGAGAATAGTATATTATAATTAACTGTAAAAACAGTAAATTAGAAAAAAAAATACATGACAAAACTCAATGTCAAATCTGTTACTTTTTGTAAGCAATAACTATGAGATTTAACTTTCAATATATACACTTATTACTTGATTCATTTGATAAACAATCCTAATGAAACTTGATTCAATGAAGAACAAGAATGCACAAGTTGTTGAACTTAGCATACACCCACTTGTTATTCAAAGTATTGGAAAACAGGAAGTATGTATACATGTGTCTGACAGAGTTAAAACTGATATAAATGTTACAGATCTCTAGTGTTTTAATATCAAAATGCCCATCATAGCTTTTGCTGACTTTTACCAGTAACATTAAACAATTTTGATTAGATTGGAGAGCCTGGTTAAATATGTGGGCTCATTTTTTTATGGTTTACAAACAGTAAATTCATTATTTATTATTCATGTTATTCATTGGGTACCAATTTATATGGATTTCATGAGTTGAGGTTAACCAATTACAATTATATCAACCCTAGAGATATGATATTCACCGAGGCCAACGTTGAATGTACTACCTCTGTGGTTGATAAATCATTGTATCAACTGAAATCAAACGTCAACAATTCTTTTGTTATATGACTTTTTATCCTTCTCCAATTTTCTAATATTTGCTCAAGATACTTTTAAAATTGCTCCCTGTTACTATACTAAATATATCATCTGCTTTTGCAGTTGCTAATTTTCATAAGTTGAAATATTCAATAAAGTTTACCAAAAAAATACACCAAAACAAGAAGAAGAGAAAAAAAATACACCGAAGACAATAAGAAAAAGAAAAAAAATGGGAATTTACATGACGTCATAAACCTACATGTACTTCACTGACATTGCCTTGGAATATCTATATTTAGGTATACAGACGCTGTTCCATATCTTATATTAACCTCTCGTGATTTTTGCCGTGGTGAATATACCGTTTTATCAAAGAGAATTTCCTATGCTTTTGACCAATGAGAAAACACATAATTTATAGTCATATAATAATGAATTAAAATGTTCAATTAAGTGTAAATTTCTATAGGCGTTTCTGCAGAATTTGGAAATTCCATGAAATCAAATATCCAAGAATAAACAATTTTTCCACAATCCCTGAAAGTTGATATCCACAAAAATAAATGAATCCACAGTAGTAATAATATCAAGTGTTTTGTATTTTATACTGGATTTTATTAGACAAAATTCATAGATAAAGTTGCACTTCCTGTGATTACTTACAAAATTGAGAATGTAAACGGGAATGTGTCAAAGAGACAACAACCCAGCCAAAGTGCAGAAAGAAGCCCAAGGACACCAATGGATCTTCAACACAGTGAGAAAATCCCACACCCGGAGGCTGCTTCAGCTGGCCCCTAAACAATAATGTATACTAGTTCAGCAAAAATGGACGTCACACTGAACTCCAAAACATATAAATGAACCAAAATTAAAAAAAACATACAAGACCTACAGAGGCCAGAGGTTCCTAGTGTGGGACAGGCAAAATAATGGGAACATACTAATAATGTAACCATACCTTTCCTCATTCCAGCCATGTATGCTGGACCAGTAATCTCAATGTAGTCAACATAAGTCATTATTTCAATCTCATTCGTTTTCTTGTGTTTAATGCCATAAGTCTGAAATATGAAATTAAGTCAAATAATGTTTAATATATATGAACACTGAATCTCTCCAACAGAGGTTTTAATTAATACTATCAGGTGGAAAAAATACCAGTGTCTTCAGATATTTGCTTTTTATTGTATATAGTCAAACCTGCTATAAAGATTACCTTTATGTAGAAAAACCTACCTTGTCAGCTAATATTTCCCTACTCATTAAATGTAGAGGAAACTTGATATGACATTTCAGAATCATTCCAACATTTTTAATCATTGCTGAATAAAGACACAAATTTTCTATTTTTGCTTTGCAAGAAGTCCTTCCAAGAAAAGCATAACTGAATAACAGTCTTAACACTGGATATTATAAAACAAGTAGGAATAAACTTATATTGCAGTGATTTGAGAATGCCAAAAAAAAGAAATATTATTTACAGTATAAAATATATTTAAGAGAGCAGGAATATATCAATGGAATATTCAAACTCTCTTAAATCTAAGACATGCTGACAACACTATGGCAAAAAAAAAAACACTTTAAAAATTCCTTATGACTCATCAACTATTCAAGCAGTACTGTAAAACAGAGGCGAAAGATACCAAAGGAACATTCAAACTCATAAGTTGAAAATAAACTGACAACGACATGGCAAAAAAAGAAAAAGACAGACAAACATGACAAACAGACAAACAATAGTACACAAAACACAACATAGAAAACTAAAGACTGAGCAACACGAACCCCACCAAAAACTGGGGGTGATTTCAGGTGCTCAGGAAGGGTAAGCATATAATTAGTAACATGATGGGTCATTGGGTGTCACTAGTGGAGCAGGAAATGCTGACCCTTCCATGGCACCTGTATTCATTCCTAGCTTAAGGGGCTTTAGTGTTAATGAATTTTTGGTCTTGGGTTTTGAGGAATGTTGTTTTGTCTTTTTGTTGTTTTTTTTTTTGTTGACATTGTGTTTTTATGTTTTTCTACGACTACATGTGCATGATGTAATTGCTTTTAATTGCCCTTTGGTATCTACACCCCTTTTTTAGCTGAAATCTTACCTGCAGAGTAAAGCCCCATGAATTATTAATCTTTTTCAGGAAGAGAGTGCGTCTTTTTGTGTTGTCATTGGGATGACTTTTGATGGATCGTTCCGGTTCTAAACAATGAAGATCAGCACCAATAGAACTACTTGATGGAATCATCTGGATTTTCTAAAGTAAAATTAAAATACTAAATTAGAAGGTATTTTAGATTATTTGCTTTGAAATACAGAGAACAAAGTTTTGCCCAATGACCATGATGTCTTTTAATTTATCTGCCAGTCATATCATTCACGAAAGAAAAAAAATCCCAACTTTAAGTCAGTAATTGGTAATATGATTGATTGTTGGCTACTACTGATAAAAATAAAAGTAGAATGTGTTGGAGGACGCGAATGCCCCCGTTCAAGCTTCAAACAAATGAAAATAGGACAGACAGATGGACGGAATGACCGAAAGTCAAGAGTAACACTTAATGTCCCTTTTGCCTATGGCAGGGGCAAAAAAATAATTTTATGTTTTAATCTATTCATACTGAATAGCAAGCTTTTTAGATAGGTCTAAAATACCATGAATACAGAATTTTGTTTACTTCTGTTTGTGAACACTGAAATAAAAAAGGTATAATTGGCACTTGTGTGCAAGGTCCATTTTTCAGTGCCATTGATTTTGCTATATAACCATGATAACATGATATAAATAATAGGAAATAAGATAGATAAAATGAAAATTACCCAATTGTAAATATAAATGACATCATACAATTTATTATATACATATATGTGATTTATTTGGCTATAGATATACATCAATTTATCAAAACAAGAAATAAATTCAAAAAAAATAATTCTTAGACAATGATGGTAGTCTGCAGAAAGCAATTGCCATTATGTGTAAGATCTGACCTCTTAGAGCAAAAAAAATAAATATTTTTAGATGAAAATAATAACTGCATGTACTTGTAAGTAAATAACAGAAATATTTAATCTTCTAAATGATTTTTTTTAAATGCAGCATTTATACAAGCTGTTGGTAAAGGGTTAAATTATGTACAATTTCTTATTCACATGATTTCATGCTTAAACTTATTAGTCACTTTATTTCGGTCAAATTGGTGAAAAAGCTATGATAAAGCTGTTTTTTATTTTTTCATTCATTGTGAATTAGCCATTCTATTTCCTTTTCATCCATACACATACCCCCCTCTTTACAACTCTAGTATAATGATACATGGAACCAAATCAATCATAAAGTAAAATCTATAGTTAGTAGGCCTGATGTACATATCATTTTACATTTTCGAAGTATACAATGTTTATAAACAGTATTTTCTACTATATTGACAAAATATTCTTAGTGCTGGTAATCATGCTGATGTTACCAATCAATAGTGTTGTAAGAAATAGTCAGAATTCAATGAAAACTGGCCAAATTTTATTGGTTTTTGTCAAATTTAGGATTGGAGTGTATGTTTCTACAAAACAGATCTTATGTTTCAAACCTAATTGCAAATTTCATAGAAATATCCAGCATGTGTACCCCATTTTCTATCGAAACTATATTTCAACATGAATTTGTTTACAAAGCAAAAGAACTTCATATTAGAATTTTCTTTCTCTCATGTCTATTCATTAACTTGTGACACTTTTCATCTTGAACTACTGTAAATGACTGATTATAATAGACCAAATATTGCACAATTCCTTTGTTGATTCAACAAAATCAATAGGTCCTGTCTTTTCAGAAACTGAAAAAATAAATGTGGATTGTGTCCACATGTGGACACAAATGATGCCCCAGCTTGCATATCATATAGTTATAAAGGGACATAATTGAAGAACCGTAAAAGTGACACTACCCGAATTTGAACTTGATCTGAGTTTTGTGGAAATAAGCATTGTGTGTGTTAGTCTCATAACATTTGGTTGAGGCTAACTTAAGTAGAGAACAGAAACTAAAAATTCAGCAATTTTTCTATTTGTAAACACGCATAACTCTAGAACGGTTGTGTATAAGTTTTATAACATTTGGTTGAGACAAACTAAAGTTAGAGAACGGAAATGAAAAATTCAGCAATTGTTATGTTTATAAAGGGACATAACTCAAGAATGGTAAAAGTGACGCCACCAAATTTCGTACTTTATCTGTATTATGTAGTAATAAGCATTGTGTATAACATTTGGTTGAGGCAAACTAAAGTTAGAGAACGGAAACAATATTTGTACTTGATCTTAGTTTTGTGGTAATGAGTATTGTGTATAGGTTTCATAATGTTTGGTTGGGGCAAACTTAAAGTTACTTAAGTTACAGAATGGAAACTAAAAATTTTGCATTTTTTTTTATTTATAAAGGGGCATAACTCAATAATGGTTAAAGTGACACTACCCAAATTCAACTTGATCTGTGTTTTATCAGTGGAAGGCAAAATTAAACATTGCATTGTATAAAGCATTGATTGTAGTTGATTTAACTATAATCATGGACAAAGGAAGATAACTCCAATTTTAAAAATTACTTGAATAATGACATTGATATTTTTTGAAAAAAAATGAAAAATTTAGCAATTTTTCCATTTGTAAAGGGGCATAACTCTAGAACAGTAAAAGTGACGCCCCCAAAATTCAAACTTGATCTGTGTTTTGTGGTAATAAGCATTGTGTTTAAGTTTCATAACATTTGGATGAGGCAAACTTAAGTTAGAGAACGGAAATACAAAATTTTGCAATTTTTCCATTTATAAAGGGTCATAACTCTAGAATGGTTAAAGTGACGCCACAAAAATTCAACCTTGATCTGTGTTTTGTGGTAATAAACATTGTGTATAAGTTTGATAACATTTGGTTGAGGCAAACTTAAGTTAGAGAACGGAAACCAATTTTGGGACGTACGGACGGACAAGGGTAAAACTTAATGCCCTCTCCGCTTCGGCAGGGGCATAAAAACCTTGGTTTTTTTAAACAGTCAGGGCACTTACTTATAATAAAATGAGTGATTAAGAAATCACTGATTCAAGTAGCATGTATTCAGAAATGTTGATAGTAAGAGTTGTCTTTCTTTAATAGTCACCTATTTAAGTAGTACAAATAAATCACTAGACTAAGCGTTTTAATTTTATTGTAGCTTTAAATATATAAAACTAATGATCCAGGGACTAATTATGTTGCTAAAATTATCAGAACCAACACCTGTGTTTATAGGATGACCGGTCATGTCAGGTCATGACCTTGTACTGAATCTGAGATAATGACATGAAAATCACTTGTTTAAGTATACTTATTATAATTACCCCCACTAATTTCAACACCCAGAACAGTAAAATTTTGGTCCAGAACAGTAAAATTTTATTACATAATCTGTAAGATGAAACCTTGAATTTTATAGGAAAAATACTCCCACTGCTGGGAAAAATCTGTTAAGAAAGTATTAGATCATTATTCAAAGCTTTATTATAGCATTTTTTTCAACAAATATTTACAGATGAATGATTGCATCAATGGTATACACCTTGCTACTTAAAGAAGCAAAAGGTTCATTTTTTTTTAATTTTACTAATAATTAGATATAATCTAAACCTGTATGTTTAAAATTTTGATAAAACTACAAAATTACAGAATTTCTAATTTGCTACTTAAATGAGTGATTAATAAATCACTTATTTCAGTAATTTCCCTGACTGTTAAAACAAATAACATATATGACTTGAATATTAAGTCTGTACTCTCACTAAGTTTTTTTTTTTTTTTTATTTACAGAGCAGTTTAAACTTACTTACCTAGATGCATTCAATCATTATCTATCAAAACTAATTATACAGTCACAAATGTAACAGTAAGTATCTCAACTGACTGGGAAAGCTACTTCCTTACATCATTGTGTTTTTCCTTCAATTTTTCAAATAATTGCACAGTTACATAAAGACAGGAAATTCTGATTAAAATGATAACATTTTCCTGTACATTTAATTTTAACAATTGATCAAATATCTATTATTTTCGTGTAAGACATTGAGATGCAGGAAGAGGATGAAAAAAACTAAAATCTTCCCATCACAAAACCTGGCTATCAATATGTAAAAAAAAAAATCCCAAAAAAACTCAAGCCTGGGCTCTCCGTCATAAAATTTTACTCAGTACTTGGAGTACAAAATTTGTGATCCAGTATTTTGATTGGTTAAGGTTCTGAGTACGATAATCAATAAATTTGTATAACTGCAAGGTCACTTCCTATATAACTAAAAAAAAAATTAAACATGATCAAGGAGTACTTATGGTAATTAAAATACTGTTGTTTTATCATCTGAGCTGACTGTGAAATGATATATAGACCAACACTAAATAGCTAAATCCACTTTCATCAAGTATGCCATTCACATAAAATTGTACTTCATATGTCAAATGTATGTATGATGCCAATTATACAATATTTGATACATTATACCTGATTACTTGGTATTCTCACTTACATCAGGAACATATATATATTGTTAGATATACTGTTCCCAGCTTACATGTATGAGGGTCTGAATGGGGGTCCTTCATTTCTGTATTCTTTAATTTTTTAGGTAATTTTTACTCTTTTCTTTGGCCATTATTCATGTTATTCATGATTTGCTATTCGTTATATCTTAGCACCACATTTTATATTTTGGCCTTATTTTTTTCGATTCTTTATCTTTTTGGTCCATTTTTCTGTAAATTATTCTCTATTCTGTAAATCCTATCCAGACCTCCATGTATTAACAAACTTGTCCAGAAACAGAGATTTTTGTTTTTGCATTGAGAAACAAAGCATTGCAAGTCAATAATGACAGACAGACATTCTTTTTATTATTAAAATCTGTGTTCTAACTTCTATATATACCTGTTTGAAATAATTCATTTCACACACTGAAAAATGAATTGACACCTTCAACATTTTATCCATGTTATCTGCATTGAGTATATGAAACATTTCAAATTACATCATACATGTACATGACTTTATTTCTAGTTATTTTCTACAATTTTGTTAATCATAAATGATAATTAAAAATCCCCAAAATACCTTGTCACAAATATGAAAATTAAAAGTAGTATTTTTTTTATAACCATGAAAATTTATTTAAATTGGCTGTTAACCAAGAGATATGTTTACATCTTTATGCAAATATACATGACTTTCTTTGATCTATA